ATTATTATTATTATCATTATCATTACCATAATCAATTCTTATTATCATTATCGATGTTATCTTATTGGTATGACGATTGCTAATCATCATAATGATTGTCATCTTTGATACGAATATTTTCGTTATTATCTTTATTATTATTGTAATTTTGATTATTACGGTCATTGTTATCACTGGTGCTATAATTAAGATCATTGTTATTTTCAGCATTATTACTTTATTATCATTACTATTCTTATCTAACATTATCATTATTGTCCTTATTATCCTCATTTATCATCATTGTTATTGTAATCATTATTCTCATTTATCATTATTATCATCATAATCATTAATATCGTTATTATTTATATAATTAATACTGTTATTTTCATTGTATTTTTGTTATTATCGTTATCATTATCATTAACATCCTTATCATTACTTCGTTACTCAGCTGCATACGAATACTGGAATTCCATAATCCCATACGTGTCCCTCTCTCAGGCGAAGGTCGTAATATGGGACTACAAAGAGCGGGCAGAGCTGGGGTCCTATTGCGTGCACCGGGAGGAGGTGGCCGCCGTGGCAGTGTCAGCTGGAGAGGAAATCGTCGTCAGCCTCGGGGGGCCGTTGGACGGGTACCTGGTCGTCTGGCACGTGGAGAGCAAGAAGCCTCTCTGTAGTATGTTGTTCGTTGCACTTTCTTGTTTTCTGGAATTTGGGAGATAAAGTGAAGTATGCGTAAAATCACACATACACGTATAAACACATACGTATGAACATGTAAACATGCACATATACACATAGACACACGTGTATAAACATGTAAACACGCACGTATACATATTGACACATATGAATACACACACATAAACATGTATGCACATATAAACGCATGCATATACACAAATACAAATGAATAGTTCCTTGGGATGTGATTATTTCTACACACTACACTTTTTCCCAGAATACTATAGGGTAATCCCGGTCACATCTATCCTTTTTTTGCATGAGCAATAAATTCTGAACACTGCCTTTGTACTAAATTTGCCCAATGATAATCTGGACAACGCCCCTTTCTTCCTTTTAATCTTTGTTTACTCTCAACCCCATGTGCGCATTACACAGTATTTTCCCCATTAGATATATTTTCTCTACTAACACTGACGTTCCTAACCCACATTTCGAAAATATTTACAGGTGTCGTCGCCGGTGACCCTGGCTTAGGCCTCACGACGCTCCTGTGCACCGCCCCCGTCACGCCCACCCTGATGCTGGTGGGCGGCCAGAAGCTGCTTCGGGCGTGGACTCTGAATAGCAGTAACAACAGACTCATGCCCACGCCCATTGCTGTCGGCCTACTTGAGAGGAATTACACCTGTTTGCAGGTTCGAAATACTTTTAGTGGTAGTTTTTTTTATGGCGTTTGTATGGGACAACTGTACTGCTATGTGATTTGTTTTATATTATAAGGATTGATTCTGCTCAGAAATCCGTAGCTATCAACAGAGCTCAGGTTTGTTCTTGAAAGTGAGTGAGATAGATAGATAAAGAGAGAGGGAGTGAATGAATGAGTTAGTGAGTGAGTGAGTTGATGAGTGAGTGCGAGTGAGTGAGAGTGAGTGGTGAGTGAGTGAGTGAGTGAGTGAGTTGAGTGGGTGAGTGAGTTGAGTGAAGTGGTGTGAGTGAGTGAGTGAGTGAGTGAGTGAGTTGAGTGGGTGAGTGAGTGAGTTGATGAGTTGAGTGAGTTGAGTGGGTGAGTGAGTGAGTGAGTGAGTGAGTGAGTGAGTGGGTGAGTGAGTGTGAGTGGGTGAGTGAGTGAGTTGAGTGGGTGAGTGAGTGAGTGAGTTGAGTGGTGAGTGAGTGAGTGAGGGTGAGTGAGTTGAGGAGAGTGGGTGAGTGAGTGAGTTGAGTGGGTGAGTGAGTGAGTTGAGTGGGTGAGTGAGTGAGTTGAGTGGAGTTGAGTGAGTTGAGTGTGAGTGAGTGAGTGAGTTGAAGTGAGTGAGTGAGTTGAGTGAGTTGAGTGGGTGAGTGAGTGAGTTGAGTGAGTGGTGAGTGAGTGAGTTGAGTTGAGTGGGTGAGTGAGTGAGTTTGAGTGAGTGGTGAGGTGAGTGAGTGAGTGAGTGAGTGAGTGGTTGAGTGGTGAGTGAGTGGTGAGTGAGTGAGTTGAGTGATGAGTGAGTGAGTGAGTGAGTTGAGTGGGTGGGTGAGTGAGTGAGTGAGAAGTGTAAGTGAACGAGTGTGTGTGTGTGTGTGTGTGTGTGTGTGTGTGTGTGTGTGTGTGTGTGTGTGTGTGTGTGTGTGTGTGTGTGTGTGTGTGTGTGTGTGTGTGTGAGAGAGAGAGAGAGAGAGAGAGAGAGAGAGAGAGAGAGAGAGAGAGGAGAGAGAGAGAAAGAGAGAGAGAGAGAGAGAGAGAGAGAAGAGAAAAGGGAAAGAGAAAGAAGAAAAAAACGAAAATGTGTAAAGAGAATACAATTAAGTAAAAGCCAAGAAAAAAATTAGACCCTTTTACAATAAATCATGAAGTTCCTTACGAGCGAAGACCTCCTCCCTCAGGTCGACGCCGCCGAGGAGCACCTTTACGCCTCCACCACGACAGGAGACGTCGTCAAGATCCGCCTCAATATGGTGAATGGAAAGTGTAAGTCATCATCAACGTAATCGTCATCTGCGTCATCGTTTATCACATATTCTGTTTCCACATGCGCAAAAAAATTAATGTGATATGTTATGAACTTTAGAAGACACCAAATTTTGTATAAGTCAAAGCAAGGTGTTATTTGTTAATTTTTTAATGAATAAGGTTTTAGTATGATACAGATTTAAGTATTTCCGTCATTTTTTTCAACTTGAGAATTTATCTAATTTATTATAACATGAATTAAGGTATCATTTGTCAATTATTTGTTCATTTCTGAGTTTAGCAAATTAGCAATTAATTTCCAGATGACTAAGATTCTAAGTTCATTCAATCAAAGAATTTATTAGTAATTTTATATTTGTTCGTTTAATTTCTATTTGAACAAAACTCTATGACGATGCAGCCCTAGTAATTTCTCTTAATGTTTCCTTTCGTGCGCTCTAAATTTACCAGATTTTTTCCGAGTGATTTTTTTTTTTTTTAGCTTATTTCTAATAGCCGTAAATCGCTCTCTTATTTCCAGCGGTTTCCGGAGGCGCGGTTCTGGTTGCAGTCATGGCGCCCAAACCGACGCCCATTCCCGGTGGTCCTAAGCTCTCTCGCGCGCCCACGCCAGGTGAGTGGAATGGGAATTTGGTGGTTTTCTGGGAGTGTCGAAGGTGGAGTTGCTGAATTTACAGCTTGAATGCTCATTTTATCTTACTATCTTAACTATTCTCGTTATCATTATTTCTCAAATCACCCTTATAATTATTGCTCTTACTTTCAGAATAATAATCATTATCATTACGAGCTTATGGGCTGATCGTAGGACCGGAAGCAAGGAAATGATGCTATTCATTAATTCATCAATCATTTTCCAAATTGCTTAGTTTATGTCTTTAGTTGCGTCATCAGAATTAAGTGAAAAGTTACTGGCAGAACATGATGGAAATGTATGACCGAATTACAGAGAGAATATATAGGAGATGATATGATTAGATTATAGGGACAGTCATCGTGACGTCGCCAAAGCTGTCACCTGATCAATCGGAGGCAGTGATGGGCAAAAACAACAATAATATACTTAATAACAATAAATACTTAATACGTTAAGTATTGGTCTGTCGCGAACATCGTCCCTTTTTTCTCGATTTATATAAGATTCGCATCCTTTTTCATCCTTTTCTAAGAAACTTCGACATGGTAAACAGTTGCATTATTATTGGATGCGCAAAAAGGTTCAACTTTGAGTTTTAATTGTTTTCCGAAAGACCCCGAGAGAAGGAGGCTTTGGCTATCAATCGCAAGATCCTGCACCTGGGAGTGATGTAAGAGTTTGTGTTAAAGGTTACTATTGAGCATCTTCTTTCACTTAGTTTCAGTGAATTTGATTTTAAAACTTTCCCTGAACAAAGATCGTAAGACATTAAATGGGAACAAAATGAAGATAGTAAATAAATCAAATGACTGCTACACTGCCCTCTTAACAACTTCAGGAAATCCGCTTAAATCTTTTCAAGGTATCATGATGAGTATTGCGTGGGAATGTAAATTTAACCTTTTAGAAAAATCTGGTGATAACGTTCGAAAAATACTGATAAAACTCCTGTTTTGAGCAACTTTTCGAAAAAACAGGCCTAAAAGGCAAAGAGCGATCAAGAAAGAATTTCACAAGTTCAGGATAATTTAATTCTACGACTACGAACCAATCTCATTATAAGCAGTATTGAGTACTTGTACCCTTCCAGAGATTTGTAGGCCTTTGAATCTTTTTATGTGTAAACATCAGCTGTTTGTATAAAGGTCGATCAACCAAACAATTAGTATGTCCTAGCAAATACAGATAGTTGTATTCTGGTTTTTCTTATGTTGAATACCAAATTCCATTATCTTGTTTTGTTTTAAAACTAAAGAAAAATATTTGAAAGCGAGTGATTTGTATTTGTAGTCTTTCAACTCCTCTTGTGTAACTACCCGGCGTGTGTATTAGGTAGAGATAAATATCACCAAAACTATCATCGGGCTAATCATTGAGGCTTTCAGACCAACAACCAGAGAGAGAGAGAGAAAGGATGACGTTTTAGCAACTAAATCGAGAGATTTGTAGTAGGTTGACATCGTTCTCACAGCTGATTCGGCCGCCATTGTTGATCTTCTGCCCACCAGTGGTGTGCGCGTGGGCGAAAAAGCGGGTGCATTATGTGAAAATAATTGGGTTGATTATGGAAAATCATTTTGGGATAAAAACGTTGATTTTTGTAATAGATGTTATGTCAGTTGTTGCAAATTGGAACGGTGAATTTGGAAATGCGACCCCACACCATTTTTTGGGTGAATAGAAGAATTTTCTAATAGCTTTCGACGTGTTTCGAACGAATCTAGCATTCATTTCCTT